TGTTGCAGAGACGTGTCAGCCAAGACAGTCCTACAACATCCAGAGACTTTAGATAGTCAGGGCGGATCTCATCCACTCCCGGCGCCTTGCCACCATGGAGGCTGCCAACCACCTTGGTGACCTCGGCCAGGGAGATGGAAGTATCCGCCCCAACATCCTCAGCCTCTGCCTCCTGGACGGAGGACGTGACGGGGGGATTGAGGAGAACCTCAAAGTATTCCTTCCACCGCCCGACAATATCCTCAGTCGAGGTCAGCAGCTCTCCACCCGCACCATACACGGTGTTGGCAAAGAACTGCTTCCCCCTCCTGAGGCGCCGGACGGTTTGCCAGAACCTCTTCGAGGCCGACCGATAGTCATGCTCCATGGACTTTTGCCTCTGCAACAGCCCGGGCCGCGGCACGTTTGGCCTGCCGGTACTGGACAGCTGCCTCAGGAGTCCCACGACTGTTGGTTGTTTGTGTGTTCTAGCGTTAAATATTTGTTAAAAATAAAAGTTTATTTCTCTTTGAAAAGGTGTACCTGCATTATCATTGTAATCGATGCAAATGATCTCAGAACGACAATATAATCGCTTATCGCAATAATTTCTGAGACAATTAATCGTCCAGCAAAATTTGTTATCGTGACAGGCCTACATGTGAAGCATCTTTTAGTCTCCAGAAGAGTGCTGTAAAAAGATGATGCATTATTATTAGTCATGTAATCTTATTAGTCATGTTATGACTGTGTCCTATTAAGTTTTATTTTAAATTATATTTTTTTCCTTTTTGAACCGACACTAACACGGATTACTCACCATCTCTTCCTTTTCAATCACCCTCTTATTCAGAGGAACAGAAGCTTCTGTTTTTCGTGTGTTTTTTCATTGATTTAACTACAATTAACAATCTAGAAAAAAACTAATCTCTGTTAAGAAAACCCTGGGTCGTACGCTGTCGTTGTACACTGTGGTCATGGATGGTTTTTTCTCTGTTAGCAGTTTCTACACTGACCACAATGGATTTGTTTCCACTCTGCAGAATAAATGTATTCCATGTGTGATTAATGACTCGGAAAGAGGAGAGACCTATAGAAGAACTTTACCATTTCCATTCATATTTACCTTTTGAATCACTGAATACACTCCTAAAGAATGATTAACCACTTGTTGGTGTGTAACATTTATACTGGTAAGAACCTTTATTCACATTAACAGTTACACGTCACGTTGTAAAAAAAAAAAATAGTCTGTTGGATCTTCTCTTCATCTTTCTTGTCACATTGTTTTGACAAATGATGTGATGGTGTATACTTTCAAAAGGCTCAACAAACATCCTCTCAGGCCACACTAACGTACCGCGGCCCACTGGTTGAAAAGCATTGCCATAGTGTCCAGATGTATAGTAGTTGTAGCATATGGGTTCTGTCATAGTGGATAACCTCTATACCATGAAGAAGATGGCCGACCTCTTTGATGTGGTTTTTATTTATTTTTTATTTTTAGAGCTGCAACAATTAATCACAAAAAGTCTGCACCAGTGTGCGCTTTGAAGGTTAAAACTCATTTGATATTTTGCAAAAAGTACTTTGTTGCTTACTTACTGGTTAGATTCCTTCTTGATGACTTTGAGCTAGACATACAGTTACTAGTCTCATTCAATTCCAATCTATTTTTCTTGTGTCGCCCTAAATCACAACAGTAGTTATCTGAGGACATTACAAAGCTGTCGATTCGCCAACGCAGATCAGAGAATCAAACAGTTCAAACACAGGAAATACAATGATAAAAACACGTAGAGCCATTGGTCCATAAGGGGCTGATGACCAATGTCCATAAATGCGGATAAAGTCCATAAATGTGGTTGGAGCATCACCACTGCATTTGCACTTTGAAAATAAGATGCAAAACCAGTAATAGTTGTGTTTTTGTCGATATGTTCACGAGGCTGGCATCCCTTCCTTGTTCCTGGATCTCACTGTTAAAAGTGTGTGAAAGCTCCTTCAGTGCTCCTGCTGCTGTAAATGCATTTTTAACAGCAGAAAATGGCCCGTAAGATGGATCCCCCCTCGTAAACATCCGCCTTCCTCCCGGCCACAATAAGCCTCCTCTCCTCCACTATAACCCCAGCATCCATCCTGTGCATTCCTCCTTCTTTCCACAACATTTCGACGCTGCCAAGTCCCACTGCTCCCTCTCATGTTTCCCTCTAAAGAGAGAAAAGCCCTGGTTGCCTGTTCCCTTCCCGCTGGAGCCTGGTGCGATTCTTTCTCATTACGCTGGTTCCTCGCTCCCTCGCAGCTGCCCTCTCCCATCGGCCCGTATATCATCACTTCCTCCACATCAAGCTCCTTATCCCCGTATCCCAGCATGCCCCATCTCGTCCTCCTCATCCGCCGTCTGCCAATATATGAGGCTTATCAGTGGAGCTGTCAGCCCGGTCGCTGTTAACAATAGCCACCTTTCTTCATGTTACAATAATCGGCTTTCTTCCCACGGCCGCAGACACACTTCATGGCTAGGAGATTGGGTTTGCGTTCCGCTGTCCCTGACCTCTCTTTCATCCCGTTCTTACACTTTTGTCTCTATAGAGGCTGCTCTCCCAGTTTCAAACGTTTTTTTTCCCCCTCATGCAAATCCATAGGGATGAAACAAGTGTCAGTGCAAAGTGACGTGGTGGCTATATCAAGAGCCTCCAGTGGGTTTGGAAGTGCGAGGTCAGCGAGCTGGGAGAATGTTTAAAAGTGTGGAGATAAATGGGTGAGATTCAGTCAAAAACACATCTCAACCCAATGTTTTAGAGCAAAGGTGTCGGACTCATTTTGGTCGTTTAAAAACATGAGAATTGGCTGGAGCCAAAAGTTTGATATGACCCAAGGACGTGCAGAGCCTCCCCTGCCATCATAAAATCTTTACTATTTCTGGTATTGTTTTACACTGTCCTTTGCTTTAATTGTATGTTTGCTGCGTTTCCGACCAGTTTTGATCATTTATGAAGTCCAAATTGCTGAAATTCTGTTTTCCTTGCGTGCCACACCCCAGATGGCTCGGTCACAGAGGACTGTGAGAATGCACTCAGCTCGTGCTGGTTGTCATTTCGCTGTTTGTTTCACTTTGATTTATTGTCCATTTCAGTGTTTATCATTGTAATTTTGTTATTCTCTGACTTACTGTTGACATAAATACAGCGCCACCTAATGGATGAATACTGGTCATTCTCTCTGAGTTTTCTTTCATAGTTTGTCATTATTCTGTAACAAAAAACGTTCTCATAACTTGTTGTTGCTGTTTTCTAACATGTAAGATACTTGACATGTTTGAGGAGACGCTAAAGTTAAACTAAATAGTGTTACAATCACTTTTCTCAGCTTTTTGTTTGGTTTCATATTTCACATAGTAATGGCACACATTATTCTGTGGGTCTTGAAAATCAGTGAAATCATTTGACGCGTCTCTCTCTCTCTCTAAAACTTTAAGCGAAAAGGTTGGCGCCCCCTGGTGCCACGAGAATCAGACTCTTCTCTCCAGTCAACTGTGAACATTTCTTTAAAGCGTGTGTCATCCTCATTTTAGCCTTTTCTGCAAAACTTGAACTCTCACTCCTCCCCACGAAGACTGTAAACAGAAGAGCTGATGCGGCAGCGCTGCGGCGAGGCCAGCAATGTGCGATAGTGTCACATAACATTCCACGGACGTCTCTCTTCCACAACACGCTTGGAGCCATCACGGCGGCTTAGGCGGCGATCGTCACGGTCCCTGAGCAGCTCCATGATCAAACTCTCACCAGATTATCATTTCATTGTGTTTTTAATTAGATGTCAGACTGTGTAGAATTGCACAGACCTCTCCAGTTCCTCTCTGAGACTCCAGGCCTCGTCTTGGAGAGAAACGCTGTATTAATTGTTACATGGCGTTTTATAATGAAAGGAAAATGGAGCTATCTTTGTAGAATCATTATCGCTCGGTTGTTTTTGTCGTTTCAAAGGTGACCATAGAATAAGAGTCAAGAGTCAGATAACGTTTTCTTGAAAGTGGTATTAATATTTCATCTGACTAAGACTCAGCGTCTATCTCTTTAAGTTATGTTTAAATGGACTCAAAACAAAACTGGACTTCTCCCATGACCTCAAGGAAGACATAGAAGCAAAAAAAAAATTGCCAGAACAATCACATTAATATTAAATATAACAAATTCAACAAAATCTGAATGTATAACCCTGGGAGGTGTTTGTGTGTCTCAGAATGTGTTACTGTTTGTGTATGTGTGTTTAGTGTAGGTGTTGTAGTTGTTAATATACTTTGACCCTTTTTTTGAAATCTATCTGTGTTTATGTCATGGATCAGATTCACCTGCCGCTTACGGAGACTGTGCAAAACAAAAACAGTGAGAACACAGTCTCAGTCTCGCGCTCCTTCACGTTTAATTGGCTGTAGAGTCCGCCTCCTTGTTCTCTTTTGTTAATGAAGCGGTCAATTGCACAGTTTCTGATTAGATTACTGCTCTGCGCCATGTTTATTATGCCGTTATCAAATGATTCTCTGATCTGCTTTTGGAGAATCCACAATTGTGTTAAGTCCTCCGACACTTTACATCAGCTGAACGTCTCTGTATTAAATGGAAAATTGTGAAATAATAAGAACAAAGAGTAAATTGTCTAAACGCCGAAAGAAGCAGCGGACCATGTTCTGTTGATAATTTACTGTATTATCACCTCCTCAGCAGTGATTGTAATTGAGGCTATAATCGCTTTTCAAACATGGATTTAATATTCGGAGCAGGGAATTAGAATCTCCCAAGGCTCTAAAACAAGAAGTTGGGTTTTATCAGCGCGAAAAATGGACAGTCGTATTTTACATGACAGTTTTACATTTAAAGTCCGTGAATGTCCTGGATCATCACCACTGTCCTTAGACCCTCCAGCTCTTTCTACTGCCCTGTTTGTGCATGCGCTGCAACATTGACATTTCCCCACCGTGGCGCAAATGAAGGTTCTCTTATCTTGTTCCGTCTCTGTTGCAGATCACTGAGATGGGGAAGGACTCTCTCCCTGACTGGCTGCACTGGGACGCAGAGAGTCGGACGCTGCAGGGTTTACCTCTGGAGGAAGACAAAGGCGTCCATTACATCTCTGTGTCCATCGCTGACGACACTCAGTCCTCGTCTTCATCAGAGGTCTTCTCCATCGTGGTGCACCCAGACGACCACATGGACATAGACTCGGTTCCGGTTGCTCCCGCTCCAGAAGACGTCCAGCCGTTCTGCTGTAACAACGAGGATCCTGTGACGATCCTGACAGTGATCCTGGACGCAGATCTGACCAAAATGAACTCGGCCGAGAGAGTCGCTCTGCTCGGTCGGATGAAGAAGTTCTCTGGAGTGAAGCTGCAGCACATGAAGATCCTCCCAGTGGTCAATAACAGGCTGTTTGACATGACTGCATTCATGGCTGGTCCTGGGAATGCCAAGAAGGTGAGATTTATTTGATTTTTTTTTACAGTTCAAACATACAGTATGATATAAAATAATGAATTTCAACCAAAAAAAGAAAAGGCAGAAGCAGTTTATTTGAACCTGCCTTTTTCAACACCATCGGTTTAAACAGATTTTCAAATTTATATATACAAGTCACTTTTCATATTCTTAAGATAAGTTTTAAATCATAACAGAGAAGTATTTTTTTTCAAATCTTCTGTTTCACACCGAGATCAGAAATACACCTCGATTCCACATTAATTCTGACTTTAGCAGATTCAAAAATAAATGCACCGCTGAGATTAGTTTAGTTTATTGGTTTTAGAACGGGGACATTAGTCTTTACAAAAAACAGCAGAGGATTTGCATCAGATTTTGCTGCAGCTACTTTCAGTTTGTAGTCCCTGGTGAACACACATCACAATTATCAAAACACAATAAAAACTATAACCATAAAAATGGCAGAGGCAACATACAAAAATATTTTCTAAAGCTATCAATCTTCTAAAAAATTGTATCTAAAATGTGCTTTTTCATATTTATAGTAGAATGTTTCAGATCGACAGACATTTTCAGCCAAAGACTGTTTTGGGATCACACTCTGTTTACAATGGACCGAGTTAATCGAGATGTTTGTTCAGAGCAAAGTTTGACAATGATTTTCAGAGTCGGTGTAGCAAAATCATTTGTGATTTTAAATATATCATATCATATCAACGGTTTTCTTAAATTCAAGAAGCATGAGATGCACTTGTGTTTTCTGTACCTCTGCTTCTGCACCTTTGATACTGTATGTTTGTTAGGCATAATGTTGATCTCTATTTCCTGTTGTTTTTGTAGGTTGTGGAAAACGGAGCCCTGTTGTCCTGGAAACTTGGCTGCTCATTGGACCAAAGCAATGTCCCGAACATCGAGACGGTCCAAGGCCCTGCAAAGGAGGGGACCATGTCGGCTAAACTGGGCTACCCTGTGGTCGGCTGGCACATCGCCAACAAGAAACCTCATATCCCCAAACGTGTGAGGAGGCAGCTAAACAACACGCCGACACCTGTTCTTGCAGTTCTTCCCCCGACAACTGCAGTGGAGCCCCCACCAGTGAGAATAGTCCCAACTCTCTCCTCACCTTCTATTGCTGGACCGACTGAAAGTGCTGCCCCCCCTGTACGAGGCCCGGTCCCACTCCCTGGAAAACCCACCATTAGATTCCGAGAGACCATCGCCCACACTCCCACACAGGGCATTCCTCCTCCAACCAGAGTCGTAGAAACCACCAGTTCAGTTTGGATCCAGCCCACTTTGACTCGGCCCCCGTTTGTTCAGCCCACTGCTACACCACCACCCACACGCAGACCAACCAGGAAACCCAAAAAGCCCAAAACAACTCTCATGCCAAAGACCACACCTGCAAAACCAGCAAGCACACAATCTCCAGGCATTATCCCGGATCCATTTAATGAGAAACCCGAACTACGGAACCCAATAGACCAAGTTAACGCACTGGTTGGTACATACTTTGAGGTCAAGATTCCATCAGATACATTCTTTGATAATCAAGACGGCACGACAGACAAGTTACGCTTGTCCCTGAGACAGAATCACAATGAGGTCGTTGGAGATGGTTTGTGGATTCAGTTTAATACCACCAGTCAACTTCTTTATGGTATTCCAGATGTTAAACACATTGGAAAACATGAATATTTCATGCAGGCAACAGACAAGGGTGGTCTGAACGCCATCGATGCTTTCGAAGTGCGTGTAAATCGCTGGCCGACAAACGACAAAAGTCCAGTCATCTTCACTGCTCGTTTTGATGGCGAGCCTCATTCTGTAACCAATGACATTCATAAGAAAATCCTTTTGGTAAAGAAGCTGGCGAACGCACTGGGAGACCGCAACAGCAGTTCTGTGAGCATCAGGAACATTACCAAAGGATCTATCATTATCGAATGGACAAACACCAGCCTCCCTCAACACCCGTGCCCCAAGGAGCAGCTCTTAACCATGAGCCGCACCCTGGCCAGTGCGGATGGGAGACCCTCTCAGACCTTCCGTTATGCCATGGAGCCAGATTTCAGACCTCTGGATGTCAGCGCGAAGGGCCGTGCCAGCTGCAAAACTCATTCCTTCATTCCCCCAGGAGAGATCGATATCCCTGAGCCACCGGCAGTCACGCCAGCTCTGGGAACAGGCCGCCAAAGCACAGACGATGTCTACTTACACACAGTCATCCCTGCGGTGGTGGTGGCGGCCATCTTGCTCATTGCAGGAATCATCGCTATGATCTGCTACAGGAAAAAACGAAAAGGCAAGCTTACCATCGAGGACCAGGCCACCTTCATCAAGAAAGGTGTGCCTATCATATTTGCAGATGAACTGGACGACTCCAAACCTCCTCCCTCTTCAAGTATGCCTCTCATCCTGCAAGAAGAAAAGCCCCCACTACCACCCCCAGAATACCCCAACATGAGCAACCCAGAGACAACCCCCCTAAACCAAGAACTGCTGGGGGAGTACACAGCCTTGCGGGACGAGGACCCCAACGCACCGCCCTACCAACCCCCTCCTCCTTTCACCACACCTATGGAAGGAAAGGGTTCCCGTCCCAAGAACATGACCCCCTACAGATCCCCACCCCCCTACGTGCCTCCCTAAGACTTGTCTATCCCTCCCTGTGTAGGGCGGGATGCCTGAAAACACTGCAACAGTTTCCTTTCTGGTGTCTGTCTGGACATTTTCTCGGAGGAAAGACAAGAGGTGCTAAAGTACAAAAACATTTCAAGGGGAAAGGGGTCTCTAAGTCCAGAGTTGGCAGTGATTTTTGGGATGAGGGGACAGTTGCCTGACACTGCTGGGATGGACTACTGTTTTTTATTGGTAGCCCAGCTTCTATTGTGGCCTAAGACAAACTTGTCACATTGGATTTCCGATTCTAGACCAGTTTCGGTCCGAGGGGAGGTGTTCTCTCCCTTCCCAGCATTTGATATCACTTTGGTTTGGATACAGCAATTTATTATGGGGTTCCACTTTCTTTTTTCTTTTATTTCTCCACGTAATCATTTCGCCTAACAACTTCCATCTTGTTTTTGATTACTCTAAGAAGATTTGAACTGCCATGAAACTGCAGGTTCATTTATACAGGAGGAATAAGTTAGGCTAAAACAACAGAATAGCGACACACTGATCTGAAATATCGATGGGAGCCGTGTGTGTGGGTGAATGAACAAGCGTTTGATTTATCCAATTCATTGCCTTTTTTTGCTTGTTGTCTCTTTCTGTCTTTCTTCACGATGTTTAGGATTGATGAGATTAACGCGGTAGCCTGAGATGATTTTAGAAATAATTAAATATATAGTTTGTTTTTATATTTTTTTCACTGTACATGGATGATCTTCAGGTAGTAGTGTGTACTTTTTGAGGGTCTGAAGGAAAGGATTGCCTCACTGAAATGTGTAGGAGCTGACACTTTAGAGATCGGTACCACTGCAGCAGAACAAGCTTAGAAGGTTCTTTATAGAAGACACAAGTGTACAGAAGCTAGTACTGCTTTATTAGGCAAGGCATGGTTATTTGTCTCACATTTTCAGGAAGACTGTTCTGAATTTTAGCTGCATAAATCTGAAATGCTAGCTTCCCATGTTCCGTCTTGACTCTAGGACCAGCCGGAGGCCAGTCCCTGTGCTCCTGAGAGTCCCAGCAGGTTATTAAGCAGAACTATCTTCTTTACACTTTCTTAAAGAACCTTCTCAGCCTTAAACACAGACATAATGAAGACTTTATAAATATATATTGCAGGAGAACTGGTTTCCCTTTGCTTTTAACATCTAAATATTGCTCAAATAACTACAATTATTTCTAACATAAAAGGTTATATACAGTAGTATGTGTAAATTAGTGCATATTTGGCTTGTGTCACCAGATCCTACCATAACAAAAACGGCACCAAAAAATGTACATATTTGCAAATGGAAGCCCTACAGTAGATTTTATTTTTGTACTTTGTATTTTATCCTCTGAGGTAATTCTTCTCTCCAGTTTATGTTCAGTGCCAATGTCTCAGATGGAAATCGAAGCAACAATAACAACTTTTTAAAACCACATAATTACGAGGAAATTGTCTACGTCAATCTGTTTTTTCTTTTGTTTTTCTTTCACAAAGTCTTTGATATAGCCTCCAATAGTTAGCATATCAAAATAAACAAACAAATAATTAGCTTTTTGTGATTTGATTTCCCTTAGCTTAGAAGTTTGATTCACTGTTTTGTTTTGGGGTCACATATTTTAATTGTTTTATTTTACCATGTGTGTGTTTTTGCTTATGAACATGTATTTTCCACGACACCAGAATGAAATGTCCCCTCGATTTATTTACCACAATTGTTATTTTCAGCTCCATTGCTATTATGTTTATTTCTTTTCTTGCTGATGAGTTTTAACAAAAGTGACCCATTGCAATAATATGTAACATGCAGTTCATTCAGCCACGAGGAGACGCTCCAACGGATGAGACTTGTATTGTTCCAGTGTTGGTTTTTTGCAGGACGCCAAGGTTTTTTTGCTTCTGAAGTGTGCATTGACATAATAAAACCAACTGGTACGAAAACGGACTGCCCTTCTTTTCATGATTTTATTTGTAATGCACAGTTCATACACAAGCCTTAACTCAAAGTGCTGAACAAAACTAGATAGAGACAGTCACACAAGGCAATAACATTATAAATAATCAGTACCTTAAAGCCACTCTTTTTACAGTTGCTCCAAATGAAAAAATCATGCTAACCAATACCAAATGTGACCTTTCTCTGACTGTGACTTAGAATTTGAATTATATATGTCCATGAGAGCAGAGTGCGGGTCAATGCACAATCTTGAAATACAATGGTTGATAAAGGACGAAAAGAATGCGAGAATTGCGTTTTCATTTCACAGGGACTACTAATATCGTTGCTTGCACCGAACAAAAATCTTTTAGGAAAATAATTATGCAAAAATCTAGAAACCGGCGCCATAGCAGCAAACTGTCAACATTGCAAACCACATGCACAAAAAGACAGAGTTAAAACAACAAGAGGAACATAAATTTAGCCTAATGAAGAAACAAGTATAAATGCTTTAAATTCTAGTCCATAAATATATAGATGTATGTTTACAACTGTACATCTTGCAGCATGAGGCTCAGGGACACTGTGACAGTGAAACTTTTTGTATATTGCACATTGACATTGTCCAAATTATTGCACATATGAACAATATTGTATATAATGCAGACACACATTTAACAGTTTAGAAGCACAGTGATAGAGAAGCTCCCATCGTCCACGCTCCTCACCTCTGCATCAGGATTTTTATTTATCCTCACGTCCTCAAAGGTCACATTGCGGTTTTATTTTCCTTCATCATCTCATTACAGTCAACAAACAGATCATTTCCACTAATTATTTGGATATTGATTAAATGTAAACACTTTCACAGCATGACACAGCAGCCATAACTCATTACGGTGTTTAATTTAGAAATGAGGAGGGGCCGTGGCATGTCCCTGAGGGCGGCTATAATGACAGAGATGGATGAGCAGTGATGGAGGAGGAGGCAGCGAGTCAGACTGTCTTGGTTTCTGTGCATTGTAATTTTATTAAGAGATTAAGATGGAGAACCTTAATTAATCCCACAGTGGGGACATTTCAGTGTTGCATCACCAGTTAAGATAGGAATTTAGGAAACAAATCTAAAATCTACAACTTTAGCAGTGCAAGTGCGTGCTTGTTCCCTCTCTCACCTATGGTCATGAGCTTTGGTGGCCAATTGGACGAGATCGCAGATACAAGCGGTCAAAATGAGCTTCTTCCGGAGAGTGGCTGGGCGCTCCCTTAGAGATAGGGTGAGGAGCTCAGTCCCACGGAAGAGCTCGAAGTAGAGCCGATTATTCTCTACGTCGAGAGGAACCAGGTGAGTTGGCTTGGGCAATTGTTCCGGATGCCTCTGGGATGCCTCCCTGGGGAGGTGTTCCGTGCATGTCCCATGGAGAGGAGGTTCCGGGGAAGACCCAGGACACGCTGGCCTCGGAGCTCCACCTGGATGGTGAAGGCTTTTATACCATTATATAGCTGTATTGATTATCAAGCAAAATGGGATTGCACGCGTTAGCTTGTCCCGTTTTCCTCCTTTATCCTTATTTGGTATAATATTATTATGGTTGTTTCAAAAATATAAAATATCTCCACTCTTCAGATTTAGTTTATTTGCAATTTGCAGTAAAACCACATTGGAACACATTTGCAAGAGTCCTCAGTGTGCACCAGACAAGTAGAGAAACAATAAAACAAGCTAAAAACATCTGATAACAGTATCTCTCTCTCTCTCTCTGGCTCGCTCGCTCTCCCCCAACACAACTACTTCAAGACATAAAAAAATGAATCTTGAATCTCAAAACATAATTCGGAAACTTGAGGTAAACGTTGTGTTCCTTATGGCTTCATGCGTCACAAGCAGAAAAAATGAGAGCCACCATCCCCTCCCTCCAACATCAGCTCTGACTGTATCGAAATGAGCCTGACGTCGTTTGAACGTTCTCTGCACAAGAATAGAAGCTTCAAATTGAAAACAGATTGACTCTTCGTTTTGTGGAGGGCCATTTAGAAAACAATTGAGCCGGTCCCTCGCCGCCTGTTGACGCTGGAAAAGTAACCTGGCGTTGTGAATCGTCCACTGTCCAAAATTACATGTTCATTGATTTCAATAAAACCTCAACAAGCTTCTTAATGAAAGAAATGGTTGAAGGCGGCTGTTTACGGGGCTCAGTGAAGCCTGGGCACATCTAGACGTGTCACAGAAAATAGGTTTGTTCTGTCCACAATTGAGAGAAAAAATTGAGTCTGGGTGAAGGTGAAAAGAAATGACAGCAATGAAACAGCAAGTACCCCCTCGCCCCCCCTCTGCCCCCATCCAAAAGTTATGGATTCCTCTCCTCTGGAGGCGCAGTACATTACTGTTGCTGTATATACTGTATTTTGTAATTTATTTTATTAAGTGAAAGTAGACAATACAAGTGATTAGAACAAAAACATTGTAAGGCAGCAGTAAAACATGAAACAATAACATGCAGAAACACAACATTTATGTGGTGGATAAGGGGGAGTGTGTGTATGTGTGTGTGTGTATGCGTGAGTGTGTGCGTGCGTGCAGTAGAAAAAAGTCAATCATCAAAGTCATCAACAGCGGCATTGTGTTATACGACCTCTAAATGTATGTTTTATGAGTAAAGAGATATTTCAGCCTCCGCCTTCTTTGCCCCTGTTACCTGCTGTCTCTATGGGTGTCTTTGTGAGTGTCTGAGGTGCATTAAAAAGGGCATAATTAGAGTGTTGAAGTAGGGGTACTGCTTCAAGACCTCCTCATGTGCCTCGCATCCCTCGGCATGTGTATCCTGTATATACCTGTCACATATCACCAGTGTTAGGCAAGTCACTTCATCAACGTAATACGTGATGTGTTACTTCAAAGTAATGTGTTACTACATTATTACTGTCTCTGAATCTGAAGGCTTATAGTCTGGAATTTCTGATACTTAACGTCTAATGATGTGTTGGGTTAAACATTTAGAATAAAGTAAATTTGGTTCTTTTCCAGAGAAAATAGATGGTGTATTACGTGCCATC